AGGTTTGGCCATTCAAAAATTTAAACAGTAAAAATAGACCCTTCTGTAATCTGCGAATGTGCTTCTTGCGTAAACCAAGATAAACGAACGATTGATGTAGTAAGACACCTTTTGTTTTAGGGGAACCAAGCGACTTTCGAAACCCCAACTGATGGCCCTGTTGTTGCTCAGCTCCGGATGCACGTTGTAATGCTGAACCTCACTCCTCCCACAAAAATTAGCAGATGCAAAACAGTGGCAACCGATCCCATCTACCCTAACCAGTCAATCATTTTCAAGGCTGACCGCACTGAAGGCACTGTGATGACTCCCTAGGCTTACACATTTTTGACGCCGATCTCGCGGCTCCGACGGACGCTCGTCCGACTGCCAACTTCTTTCAACCTATTTCACACCAATTCCGTACAGAAAATAGCATCCTCCAATTGCTTTTCCACTTCCTTTCTTATACCGAGCCGGGCCAAAAGGGCGTAGTGTCCACGGTTTTCCTCATTAACTTAACTCATCAAGATTGCCCCCATACCCGGACGGAGGAAGACAAGGACAAGAAACGGGCCACTGGCTGGTAGTTCAGCAGAAAGCCCAGTTAGTGCAAGTCCCTGAACATAGACCATGATAAATAGTTTGATCGTGCGCTTGACGCCACTGCTGGGTTCACGAAAGAAGTGCGCTCAGGTTATCTGAACAGTAAAAGCTTGCAGCATTCCTGACGATTTATAAATAAATGGCAACTCAGTCGGGAAAATTTTTTCTCCATTTTCGTTTACTCTAGTCTGAGGAACCTGACATGTACCAGTGGCGTGCCCTCATGCCAACCGCGCCTTTACGTCGTCAGTCTTCTACAGTATTAGCCCGTTTTCAATGAATTTTTAACTTTCATACTATTTCAAAAAGATTTTCACATCTATGGATTCGTATAACAGCGTCTGCCTACTTTCTGCAAGAGAAACGACTCAGGAAGCGTATAGTAATCCAGAAAATCGAATATTAATAATTCATACCAAAATAAAGCATATTGTTTAAACTCACTAAGGGTGGCAGTTCTGATTAAGCCGTTCAATCAGCTGATCAGTGCCTTATGTCAGTTGACATCGTCACTGCTCTATCTAGGTTTAGTGATACACTTAGCGATGGAAACGTTGAAGGAAGTGCGGTATGCTGATATTTTCAAGTGTCATTCTTCATCTGTGATTTGCACAAGTGCGTTCGCTAAGTTCTCAGCCGGCACTAGTCACATGACTATATGAACATATGCGCATGGAGATGCATTTAATTATCTTATACACGCACATTTGTCCCGAGACCTACTTATTGTCTTGAGGATACAAGTCCTTTTTCATTAAACTTATTCTTTTTAAATCTATTCGTTAAGCAACAACCCTTATTCGAGGAACCAATCCATACTAAACCGATCGTCCAGCTGGCTAAGGCTTAGTATGGATTTCAATGAAGCATTGTTTATGATTGGGGTTAGATTTTCGAGCTGGGATAAGATTTAATACATACCTCTTCTATTCTCGTTCTGTTCGAATATGTAGGGAGTAATCAATATAATAACTTGATTTCATATTCCTTAAGCTCGTGTTCTCACTCAGTAAACTGTATTAGGATGTTTTTTGACGAGCTCCCTCGTCAGACTGAACGATTAGACTGCAGTCTGCCTAGTTCTGTGAAGCAGAGATCATATCTTTATAATTTGACTGCAAATAGTCACGATGATATGCATTTCGAAATAACCTCTAGCGGAACAAGTCGTCTTGCTCCGCTAGTGAGAGATACCTTCGATATTCTAAATTGCAGACTACGCTTTAGCGACACTAATACTGACTGGACCTAACAAGCGGGAGAATTATGAGATATTTTGTAGGCAAACGTGTCTGGGATGTGCCTGTCAAACATAGTGCTGAGGAAGGCTCCTTGATTGCGAGACCGGAAGTAATGCTTATGATTAGCTGGACGAATTCGGTACAAACTTGAAACAATCCACCAGCATCTTTGCTGATGCTTTCTTTGTTATCATGTCTCGACCGGCTTCGATCTGCTAGCTGGCCCCCTTATTTGCGT